CGTCCCGATGCTTCACATGAAACACTCATGTATGCTGAGCTTGTTAACTTTTTTTCACAAAAACTGAGGCAACTCATATATATCCCTATTGAACACAAACCGTCCCTGCTGTGCTCCACAAGACACATTGTGTGAACGAGGGAAGGGTGTGTGATGTCATGGGTTCTTGTGGGAATGCAGGGAGCAGTCCCTTGCTGATCTCTTCTCCCTTTTTGTGTAGCACGTAAGGCAGAGAAATACATCCTACAAAGACCTTTCCCTAATCGTCTGCCTTAAGAAGAAAATGGGAGCAAATTACACCACTCGTATATGCTATGTGAATTTCCAGTCTCTTATTTCAATTAAAACCAGTTCCTCAGTGGAAAACCCAAAACCGATTCTCCTCAGTGAGGGCTATTTCTATGTTAAATTTTGCAATTCAATATCCAACAAATGCAGAGAGGCAGCAGGGATTTTTTTTTTAAAAAAAGATAATATGTTTGATTTGTCTGGCTTTGTTTTGGTTTGTTTTGGAAGGCAAAGTAGTGAGTTTTCCTCCCTCCTTCACAAACCACTTTCATCATCTTTGCTTAAAAATATCAAAACCCTTTTGAACATATTAATCGCTAAATCAATCTTTTAAACAAAAGAAACAAATGTGGTAGTTAAAAGTAGATGATAATCCAGGAGTTAGAGTCAGATACAATTATGCAACACCAAGATACTCATCTTTAAGAGGCCCATGGAAGACCCATGAAATACCTCCACTCACTGGTGACACCATTCAAACAGCATCACGTATGAGACAGCAAAGGGAACATGATACCATACAACCCCTATGGTTGTTGAAGGTGGGCATTCAGGAAAAGGCTGCAACAGGGAGGTCATGGCAGCACTGGAACAGGGACAAAACAGGCTCTAGGTTCTCCATTCTTGCAGGTTTCCAAGCCTCAGACAAAGCCATGGGGATCCTGAGACAGTGTGTGCAACAGCCATGCCTCAAGTGGGAAATGGGACGACAGCCTCCCAAGATCCCACTAATGAACATTTCTCTGTTTTCATAAGCTTATGCAGCCTCAGCAAACACCCACAAAAATTACAGGCACAGATGAGAAAAAGCAGGTGAGTAGGGCTGTATTTTGTCATAGTGTTCTCATAAAAAAGTACTCAAAGATTCTTCATCTCAGTTTCACAGGCTAACGCTGATTAAGACCACAGCTTTTCTGGGGGAGGAATTTGAACACAGCTGATTTACATACACCATTTTTTTCTATTGATGAGATAGTATCAGGCATTGGATGACAATGAGACAAGAACATGTAACAAACGGACAGGAACGAAGCTATACATAGATAGCATTATCTAGTATTTCCCATAATTAGTACCACAATGCTCAAAATAGCTCTCGAACATAGACCAGTTCTTCACCCAAGAAAAAGAATAACTTTAGCATTTCAGACGTTAGCACAAAGCCTTTGTCAAACTTTTTAAGACATCTTGCTGAACAGAGAACGTTTCCTAAGCAGTAGAGTTTCCCTCATAGCCAGGACAAGCGAAAGGGAAATACCAGACAGAACGATCAAACACAAATCTTGTGCTTTCCTTGTATTTCTGAGCCAGCTTGGAAAGACAATATGATGTGGCAGTCCATTTCTCACAGAGGCTATGGATAGCATCCACCTTGCGCACACAAGTCAGATGACCATTTCTTAGATGATAAGGCACTAATGTTATTTTCCTTTCTGACTCTAAAAGAAAAAACCTCATAACATATTATTGTCAACTTTAGTGAAGAGACCTTTCAAGCAGTCCGTGGATGCAAAAGATAGTGTGTTCTCTCCATTACTCAGAGAGGAAAGTTAACATAACACAACCTCTAGCACAATAGACCTGTATGTCCTTCCTACTGCCAAAAGACAGAGCCAGGAACAGCTGTAGAGATCAAATCATACATCATCTCTACAGCAAGAGCCCCACATTTCAGGTTTGAAGCACACTGGCTAGAATAGCTTCGCTGTATCAGTCACAGCTCAAGCTATATGGGCAGAGAGCAACAAAAGCTTCTTACCTATCCGGTTTCTTCTAGCAGTCTGGAATCAACATAGAAGCACAAAAGCAACCCTGTTCGTGGCTTTGTGTTTGGAGAGGAGCAGCAATGTTGTGCATGTTAACTTCCTTATCCCTCTCAAGCCCTCAAAATCTTCCTGCATTGATACACAGCCACTGCAATGGCTTTTGGTGAAAGAGCAACCAATAGCAAGAAACCCAAGACAAACTCCCATCAGAGCAGACTGAGAAGACAGTCAGGGTACGTACAACACACGTTGGGAGTATCAGCAAGAAGCCAGTAGAGTAAGTGGTGGGAGGCCAGGGAAGCAAATCATCCCGGGGGAGGGAGGGAGGCAGAGGGTGACGTTACTAAAGAGAAGAGCACCATCCGCTGCCTGCCACTTGACCCACTGGCCATCGCCCAGTCTCTGAAAGCCAATCTCGAGCGAACCTGGGACTCCTTGTCCTGTCCACCACAGCCAACGAGCTGGGGAGCACAAGGCAGCTACCACCGATAAAGAAGACAGGAGTGATAAGAGTGACTGATGCAGAAGATAAGAAGATTGGGAAAGCATCCCAGAGAGGGCTGTGGGGGGCAGCAGTCTGGTTCTGAGTAAGCACATACAACGGTCATAAAACATGGAGCGGATTAAAGGCTTGTTTGCAGACTCTGATGAAACACCAGCAAAAGGCTGTGAAAAATGCAGTTGTCTTGACAATGTATGAGGAGCTTTTGTTTCATATTTATTTTTTGCATTTTACACTGTACTTGAGCGATCTGAAAGTCGGGAAGCCCAGGAGGCAATGTAGCTTGCCGTTTAGCTGTACGTAGCTCGTATGTCAATCAGGTTTTACACAATGTAACTGCCCCTCTGCAAAGTAACAGATCTGCACCCTGCCACTGATTTCTGAAATGTTGAACCCACCTGGACAAGGGCATCTACCAGTTCATCCTCTACCTGTGCCAAACGCTATTCTTAGTGAACAAATTGAAAAGAATCAGAATTTTGCATTTTGCTTAGGGCTTTTAAAGCCCTCTATTTCAGTAAAGTGTGTAGGCAAGAAGTTAAGTAGTTAACCGAGCAGGAATTCTGCAAACACTTCAAGTTCATACTGTGCTGAAGCCCTTTGCAGAATACACACATGCTGCTGCACTGGAACTAAGAAAGACAAGAAACATCAGTAAAATCTGGTTAGAAATACATAATTGCAAAATTTTCATTTCTTTTTGCTTACACGCACTAAATGAATTTCATGCACTTGTATCATGAACCAAAGCACCATGGAAGGCATGGGCTTATAAAAAAATGCTATTTTATTTCTGTATGATCACCCAGAATATTTCTGGTGTTTCAAACCACACTGCACTGCTGTCTGACTTGTCCATTCAAGTCCCGTTATACCTGGGGGAACTTTAAGTAAAGATACCATTCTCCTATACATCTGTAGATATATGTATATGCATCCCTTTTTATATATTTATTTATTTACATATACTAAGAAAAACCTTGGAGGTTCTTGAAAAATACAAACCTGAGGTATCCTTGCTATCTGCTTGTCTCTATCCCCGGGAAATTAACTGTATTTTATTGCTATTGTGTATTGTTCTGTTTCTATGTATCAGACTGCACAGCAAAGACAACAAAATCCACAAAGGGATTGTTACAGTAACAGCTGGAGAGGTAAAACCACCAAATGAAAAACACAGTGAAAACAGTAAGGTAGCAAATAACCCACTGGAAAGGGAGGCTGCAAAGCTGCTGGAGGAAGCACGTACCCGGCTCCAGCCAGGCTAGGATGTCACACCCATCTCAAAGGTAAGCTGGAAAGAAGTTGGTACCTTAAAATGCGGAGTGTTTCTAAAAGGCAAGAGGGGGTGGTGGTGGGTCGCTGAGTTGAAGAAGTATTCTCATGTGCATTAAAAAAAAGGCTGGGACATCATGAGCACTGTCTAGCATCACAGGCTGCTCCTTCCAACGCAGACATGGAGAACAGGCCAAAGTCAAGAGTCCTCTGCACTGCAGGCAGATGACTAAAGCTTAGGTATGTGAAAATGCATTTAAATCTCTGCATATAAATATGCATATAAAGACCACTCAAAAAACACCTTGTTGGTCTTCACAACCATAAATTTCATTTTTTTAAAAAGTTTTTCTTTTTTGTTGTTATTTTCCTCAAAATATGTTTGTTTATCATTGGAAACATAAACATACTTAAATCCTGAGCAAAAAAAAGAATCCATGTAGGGCAACCACTTGCCTGTGTTGAATTAAACCTGGGGTGACTGGGCTGAAAATGAGAGAACAGTGAACTCTACCTAGGAGGAGGGAAAGGGTCAAAGGCTTGATGAAGCATACCTGTGCTGAGCTGACAGCATCAGACAGCTATACATTAGCCTTCAGCTCTACAGGACACTTTGTCGCAGGAGCTGCATGCATTTTATCTGGGATTCTCCTTTCAGCTACTCAGTTTGCATTCCCTCACTTTCAAGACAGGGAGACTCAGGCATTCAGTTGGCTCTCTGAAATCCAGCCTATTCTCCCCTCCACAGAAGGAAGTCCTTTTGGTCCATAAGAGCACTCCTCCTCCTGCACACAAGCAGCAAGCATAAGATGTGAATCTTTGGATCTGGTATTTGACCACCACAGTCTCATAGAGCTTACTGTTGGGTTTGCCTCACAAGCAGAGGAGGAGGGAGCCAAACCTTCATGGACAACGCACACACTCAAGAAAAGAAAGCACGCCTCCTGAAAATACCATGCCATCTGTTTCAGCCAATATATACTCTTGTTAATACAACTGTCATCAGAGAGCCAAATCCAAACTCTGCTCACCTTCATCTGACTTGTCCAGCATAACAGTTTAAACAGCCTATTGTAACTGGAGACGGAAAATATATCATTCCAAATCACACCAAACCATATCCAAATCCAGACAAATGATTTCTGAAAACTGCATAAATGCATCTTCTTAAAAAATCGGTTCATTTCAAAGACAGCCTGCTACCCAGCTTATGGATATTTACACAAGCTTTTGCATCTCCCTTATAAATCGTCTACTACAGTTTCTGACAAAGCTGATATTTATATGGGTGGTCCTGCCACCACTGGTACTTCTTACACTAGCATCACAAATATCAGTCATCCTTTTCCTTTTGCCTTCTTTACAGATAGTTTGCACTCTGATATTGTACACTATATTGTAAAATTGCCCAGTGAAGTAAGGGCATCTGGTTCTAAAGAACCATTCAAATGCGCTAATAAGTCTATATTTAGCTGCAGAAAGCAAAAAGGCCTTTTCAAATTGACCATGATAAAGTGTCTAAGAAAATGTTTTTCACTGTTAGGGAACACATTCATAAACAGACTCAAAGTAAGTCCATGCACAACTCTTCAGAAGGAGCTGCTATCCAAACGGATATGGTACAGCAGTCCATGGTCAATGAAAAGAATATAGGATGAGATTCAAAAAGGAAGGGAGGAGTATGAGCAAAGTACATTTTATCTCTCCTGCCTCCACTTCCAGCTGAATAGCTGTGGCTTGCAATAAGCACTATTCCCTTCTGCATTCCACAAGAAAAGAGAAGGGGGAAAATTAATACCTCGAGCCAAACCACACGTCTTAAATTTTTCCCTGACCATGACCCTATGCAAAACATACAGCAATGGTGAAGCCAACAGACATATGGAAATAGCATAAAGGAGAGAGCAAAAGGCACTCCCATTAGAAAAGACTTGAAATTACAAATTGATGTTACATGGCTACAACATGTCAAGCATCCTCCTCTACAGCTGGGGCTTCCCAAGAACTAGGAGCAAGCTCTTGTTTTAAGATTAATATAGCTTCCCAGCACACACAGTGCACTTTATAATTGCAACTTAAGGCTTGATGAAAGGCTTTCCAGGAATAGGAAGAGGACAATGGGGTTTTTGTTTGTTTTCTTTTTTTCTCCAAACATTAGATAACAATGAAATACAGCAGAGCTTGCATTCCTAGATAAAAACATTTCTTAATTTTGAACATTAAATAATAGTAATCCCACACATTTTACATTGTGCCTATCATTCTGAGAGATTCTAAAACCCTTTACAGATCAAAATATTTGGCACAGAGATCCTGGCTTCTTCCATTTCAGTTGGGGCATGGGTATCACCGTCAGATGTTCCTTCAGTCATTAATGAAACTTTGCCATAAAATGGCAAGATTTGCTCTGTGCAAGCTGCAGAACTAAAGAGAGATCAAGCAATGTATTAACAATCAGGGCTGCAGATCACTTATAAGGCACGTTCCCAGGGAAGGCTAGCTATGGTTTTCATTTCAGCTGCCAAGTCTATTTTTTAATGCTCTTTAGAATGGCCCAGAAACCTGACAAAGAAAATAAAACAGAAGGGAAAAAACGGGGTCCTGTCATAGAAAAGAATTTCTTTTTCTGACAGGTCTAATAAAATAGAAATTTAAGTCTAGGGTTGCAGACATGATGGTGGAGAAGATGGTCACTGTAGTTGTGTCTCTATATTCAGACTGAAGGGAGTAAGTAGACTCAAGTTCAATTCTTCCTTTGCCTGTAGGGTTTTAAATTCAGTATCTCTGAGATGAGTGCTTTAATTTGGGCCATCAGTGTCTTCCAAAACTGCGCTGAACTCATTGCGCTCACACTCAAACCTCAATAGTACTCACTGATACAAAGCCAATGAGAGAATGGTTGCATGAGCTGGTAGTGATGATAATCACCAGGGACAAAAGTGTAACTGAGAGATGGTATCTAGATCATGCTCCAAAAATACACAGCAAGAGGAGAAACTGAAAGTGGTTCAGATTACCTCTGATCCTCACATGACAGAGAAATAAGAAATGAAACTTTAAAATTTTACCAGGCAAAAAGATGAATTTGTGTGTTGCCCCATTCAATTTTCATGTGTAAGTATTAAGTGACTTGGTAGTAAGAAACCAAAGCCATCAGCTCCTCCTTCTCCAGTAAATTGCAAACATGGCCCTGTACTGTTTTACTTACAGCTAAAAATATACAGTGAATTCACCTTGAACTTTAATATTTCCCCTTCAATTTTCAATCCATCCTCATGAAGATCAACACAAAATGCAGTATCAGGTCATACAGCATTCTACCAGCTCAGCACAATGGAACGGTTACATGAATCTCTGAAAGTTTAGACCTCCCTTTCACAGCTCCCAAAAATATTATTAACACTTCTAAATATTTCATGCTGGCACATCTGAAAAGACTTTGCTGGGGTTTCAAGTCTCTGCTAGGTTTTCAAGTAAAATCTGAATTAGATTAAAGCAGACCCTAACCCTAGAACAGGAAGCTAAACCTAATTTTGACATGAATACCTCAAGGGTGTTACAATTTTGGTTAGTACAATACAGATCCTCCTGCTCCACACAACATCATTCACTGTGATGGCACAGTTATCACAGAGAGCAAAACCACAGAAGCACAGTACGTAGCACTGCTAGTGTAGTCAGCCAAAGTCTGGGCACTCTCATGGGCTAGCCCAGCCCAGCCACAAATTCCAGTTTGCGTAGAGCTCTCAACGATCTCCAGCCCACTGGGATGAGGAAAGATTTCTTTGAGGTTTATTTACTTACTGGTTTTTCTTCTGGGCTCCCACTGGGCACCTCCACAACTCTGAGGTCAGGGTCCACCCGCACCCTTGCCCTTGCGACGAACTGGATGACCGACGAACTGTCCTGAGAAGTAAAAAGAGGAAGAGTTGGCTTCGAGGGTGAAAAAACCCAAACAACCTACCAAAAAACCTAGATAAAACCATCAAACATTTGCCAGGGTAATAAACACATCTAGGCAATGCTTAGTGGAGGTTGGGTTGAGAGTTAAGTACTATCCTCATTAAAACTCTGTTTTGAAAAAAAATACCTTATGCTCATCACAGACAGACAAAACCAAGCACATTATCTCAGATTAAAAAAAGATCAGGTGTGTTGGACTTTAAACACATGATTTGCATTTGGCCTGTTAGTGTTTCCCACATTTACCACAAAAGACCGAACAGTGCCAATCAATACAGGCAGGCTCAATATTAACCAAAGTTCCTGCTTTTTCTTCAAGTGAACAGAAAAAAAGATATATGAAACCTCGGATAAAATCCACTATATATCAAGGTGGAAATTTCTTAATTTTTTGGATCTGTGCACTGCAAATTTCTTAAATATTCAAAGTACACCTCCTCTTATTAATATATATTTCTCCTACATTTTACACAGTGCATTTTAACCCGCACATCCAGTAAGCTGCCATTTCAACTCATTGGTTATTCACTTGTATGCTGTTCACCTTGGGGAGGGTGGGTGGTAAGTAGCAAATGGCATATATGGGTGATACTGACCCAAACACATGTGTAAGCACTGCATGTCTTTTAAGGAAGTGTTGCTAATGGTCATCTTGCAAAGGACCCAGCAGATAGGATGAATCCTGGCTATTCCCAGGATTGAATTTCCCAAAAGCACACATTGTGTGCACTCAGTCACTTACTTACATATTCCAGTATTTCTATAAGCATGTAACAAACACCTGAATCTTCTGGCCTTGCCTATATTTCTTGTTTTCAAACATCAACAAATATTAGCAAACTGGTTGGTTTCAGCTGGAGAGGCTCAGAGCTATCAATTGCTTTAGGAACTGCTTTCTAATAGGGGCTCTCTCCAATGCTTTTAATCTAGCGGCTATCAAAGACAGGTTCATTTTAGTAGGTTCATGTTATCAGCTTTCTCCTCTGATTATCTTATACCCTCATAATCTTACAGCATCTTGCCACAATACGCAGTCAGCATTTTTGTAAGTAAAGGAAGATGACAAAACACAGTAAATCACGAGAAATTTAAAAGATTCACTGTCTCATTCAGCGGCTTCAGAGAAGACAGGAATTAACTTGCAACCATTTGTTTCTTGTCACAAATGTCAAGCTCAGCATTAATACGGTTGTGATGTATCATCTTTGAATAATAATCATGAGAAGTAAAATATTACAGAAAACTGTCACATCTCTGTTTACACGGAAGGAATGATAGATAGTTGGTCACAGTTTACATGCACTTACTCTACTTCTCATTTTTGAGAATGAAAACTTTCAGAAATCAATTCGACTTTCAGAAGTCTCTAGCCTTAACACCTTACATACAATTAGGGGCCTCATTTGTTATTTCTCAATGTATAAATTTCTGAACTTAATTTATTTCTGTCTTAATGGGCAATGGGTAAGAACTAGGATTAACACCTCCATACACATTGTTGATAAATAGATCTGTTTTCTTTGACACCATGATTTGTTTATACCACACTAGTAAAGAGAGGAAGGAATGTAAGTTTTGAGTCAGTTGGCACACATAAGCATACTTAAAGTGGTATTTAAGACAAATTACAAAGAAAGTGTGTACCTTCTTCAGTATCTCAGTATTCAGCAGTGTGTAGATACTTATATCACAGGACTCTGCTTTGGCTAGTGAGCTTAAGTTGCAGCGTATAATCAAGCAGGACCTGCCTGGTCTTTCACAGTCCTACAGGAAATATAGAAAAAGCCATTAAGCAAAGGAGGAAAAAATTCCATGACAAATTGTGTGACAGCAAACACACCAGCTAAGTTACACAGTAAACGCTAAAATACAGCACTCTTGCATTGCAATAGCAGCAACTTGCAAGACCTGAAGACAGCTAGATACAAAAACGGGCACAAAAGCAAGCCAGGTAAAATTCAGCCCTTTGCAGAGCTGCTGAGCCAGGCAAGCACCTGGGGCCGGGAGGAGTGGGGACACTGCTGCGCGTCAGCCCTGTGCATGGGTCAGGACCTGAGCACTGTGCAGGACCCGGCTGCCCTGTGAGCCTTTGACAAAACATGGGAGAGGGGGCTCTGGTCACCAAGTGTGTGCTGCCATGTCAGGTAACTCCCTTCCTACTGCACTTCCTGAAACTTCCTATTTCTGTTTGAAAATCAGATAATTAAAATCACCAAACATCCCCACAGCACAACATCAGTATTAGCATACATGTGCCAAACAGTTGCTCAATAATGAACTATCTGCTTGAGTTCCTCATGCGAAGCGATGCAGTCTTTTGTAAGACACACTGTATGTTCAAGTTTGCCATACATGGACTTTCTTACCAATACTTTTCTTCCGGATTTTGTGAAAAAAGCAAATATTGTGTGGAAAATATTTTCATTCTCTTGAGGAACAATGCATGGGCTGGGGCTTCTGTGAAAAGAACAGCTTCCTTTGTCCTGACCAACCTGCAAGCACAATTATAAATCACAATTATTATTCTGATTTAAACTAAACGACAGAAGAAGGTGGGATTAGCCTGTCCATAAAAATACACCCACATCTGAGCTGGATGTCTGGACTCCCGTTAATAGTAAAAAGAGAGAAATAAGCACTTTGGGAGTCAAATAATCCTCCAGAAAATATCTAAAGTAAGCCAAATGAACCATGCTCTGAAAATGCTTGTCTCTCGACTGGATAGGATACGAATGTATCTAACCTAGTTCACATGTAGATAGGTGTCTGTGCTTTACGTGTCTGGAGATAGAGACAGAGGAGAAGAATCTCAGTGAAAGACATAAATCACCATGTAGCATTTTAAATCAACAGCGTTACCCTCTGTATTACCTTTTTTGTAAAGATATTATTTGGTGCTTTGGCCAACTTGGCTGTTCCAAAGTTTATATCAGAACTAACTAGATAAATGAAATCTTTGTGTAAATGCACAAGCCTGGACACTGAATCTGTCCTTTAACCTTCAGCATAAATCGTACAAAAATAAACTTTTTGTATCAGTAGCTTATTCACTTGTCGAGAAAAGCAGATGCTTGAAGCAAGTGAAACGTATCAAGCTTGAATAAAATGATCTTCAGTTAAGATAACCTTGCACTAGAGAACCCGTCTTGCTTTTTGCAGCTTATGAATATTCACTGAAGAAAGTCTATTGGAATTTAATACAAATTATGACAGAAAAGTATCAGCAAATTCGTCCAGCTGCCATCCTTAAAACCTATAAGAGTGAGAGAGAAGATTTTCCCACAAACCAACACGTGACAGTCTTACACATCCTGCTGTTGACCTCCCCACATCCTCTATTCTGAGAGGATGAAAACTTGTACCTTATTCAAATCACAAATCCTTGAAAGAGGGAGAAAAAAAAGTTGTTATAGATATGAAATTACTGCACGTTCTGAGTCTGATTCTGCATTAAACAGTTTATAGCTGAGTTAGCCAAAGTATCACCAAAAAAAGAAACAAAGGTCTATCTAGATCTTGAATGCTATTTTCCAGACAAGTGCTGTCTATGTGTCTTGGTAAGATATACCTTTTCTGCTTCACTGGCCCACAAACTCTTAATCTGTTCTTTGAAGTATGTATTCATAATCTGCCTTTACATAATCTGTCCTTACATTCCCAACAGATACAGGCACCGGTAGCTACCCACAGTTTATAGTCTCCTTGGGATCAACTGAAAATTAAGACTATGATGATCTCCATTTGTCCAGATCACCTGGACTGAATTTTCATTCTTTACTGTAGGTAAGAGATTCACAAAGCCCATTGACATTTATTTACTTTGAACTTTCACATGGGAATTAGATCCAGATCAACCAGAAGGTTTATGTTAAATCAAGAACAGCAGAGTCAAGATCTATTCAGTACTTGCTCTTTCTTCCTGATAGTTTGAATTACCAGACATTCGGACAGATGTCATTAGATTCATGCAAGAGGTACAGAAAAGACAGTATGAACTTCTGCACTATCCCAGCTTTTGGCATACTCTCCAAATAGTCCTGATTTACAGCCTGTACATACTGCGTAAGAACAAACGAAAGCAGAAATCTCTCACAAGACTTAGAGGAATTATCTGGCATGAAGCAACATAAATACGGTCCTTTCTTCTCTAAATGATTATCTTTTCTTAAACTGAAGCTTGGCTACGACTCATTCTTTTTACAACACTTCAGCTGAAACAGAGAAAGGCACCTCCAGAGAACTAAATCTGATCTTGGAAACACCCTTTCCTCTCTGCCAACTGTGCAGTAATCCCACCGAAGGCAGCTACTAAATTCAGTCTCTCAGTCCATGTTAGGAGGGACATGTGCAAGGACCGAGCGCCTCCTGTCACCTGCACTGCTCTGGAACAGAGCAGCAGGTCACCTACAGCCTGTTTAACAGCCAAAAGCGGATGCCACTTCCTAGAAGGCGGCAGACACTACTACCTAGCCTGTAGAATTTGAGGGAATTCAACCAGGTAGAAATTAGGTCATATTCATCTGGGTATCTGTGATCAACCGGCATATGCCAACAGCCAGTAAGCAGGAAAGGATGCAAGGCAACTGAGAAGCATGCAGTTTCTTTTAGCACTCTTAGAAACCACAGATCCAGAGCACTAGGAAAAAAGTAAAAAAACAACTCTGAAATGTGTGGATCATGCTGAGGTAGGAGGAAAAAACTGGCCACAGTTGTTGGTTTTGGTTTTCGTGGTTTTTTTGTGGGGTTTTTTTTGTTTGGGTTTTGTTTTTTTGTTTTTTTGGTTTTTTGTTTTTTTCCCGGGAGGGGGGGCGGCTGTTTGTTTATTTGTTTTGTTAGGGTCACTGTCAGACACGTATTTCACACCATCTCTTATTTTTCTCCATTTTTACATGCATAAAGGGAAGATTCAGTCAACCAGTCAGACAAAACTATGGTAAATTTTCATTAAACTTTGTTTACAATGAAAGTCTGCAGCTTGGGAAGTAAAAACCCTGTCCTGGGTGAGGTACCAAGCAGGAGCAGCCCTGCATCTTCCCAAGGAGCTGCTTCAGAGCTGTCTCTGCTGAAGGTTGTTTCACGTTGTTTTCCAGAAGGGATTTACCCATTTTAAGTCCTGCAAAAAATCATTTGCAATCTGGTGCAGTAGCAATACAGTTAAATTTCCTGTATTGAAAGTGTACCTAAAATCTGTACCCAGACAAAATCTACATTAGCACATAACGTAGGCCAAACAAAAACGTGAACCAGGCTTAACTGCATGGTATCCTCAATACCTCATGTCTATATTACATACTTTTCTAACTCACTCTGAGTCTGCTCCTGTGGCCTGAATGTGCTGCAGCCACAAATTAGTGTTAAGTGCACTCTTTGTGTGCTCCTTTGTGTTTCTTCCGCCCCAAAAGGAATCCAGTCTATGCACTCTGTGATGTGAACCACAGCTCCCTGCGTGGGGAGGGATGAGGATTTTGCTTTAAAAGCTCACTTCTGGACCGAACTAAGATGCTAGCAAAGCAGCACTCTAAGGCACACTTGTCAGCCCAGCAGAACTTCTGCAAAGGGTCATGACTCTAAAGATGCACAAAATATACCTTATGCATGCTTCCTAAGAAAAAGTTATCAATTTTTTCCACCCATGAGTGTGGATATTACATTAACTCCTATAGCAGGACTCCTGGAATTCATATTGCTTCTTACTGGAATGGTTACATTTCTACATAAGCAAAGCCTTCTGGAACAGGGATTCTCATTCTCTAGGAACATCTTGCCACATATTGCAAAACACCTAACATTGATGCATCACGTGTATTATTTTTTTCTAGTTTTTATCTCCAGTTCAAAGGTACTTTTGTCAAACTGCTCAGCCCCAAGGTAAAGAAAGGTAAAAAAAAAAACCAAAACCCACTCTGATATTCCCCCTGTGGAATATCAGTGATTAAAGCCAGCAGAGCCTGCATTCAGATCTCACCTGCATTCTTGAACATGACTGGATGCCAGAACACCCATCTACAGTTTCTAATAGTGAGAGGTTATTGTTGGGTGCCTCAAACACCTGGCCTGATTCCAGAAGGTGGATATGTGACACTTAATCCAAAATCTAAGGGAATGAAAACCGCTACTCACTTGTGAACATACATCTGTGTATTCTCCCATTTCATGGCATATACATGCAATATGCATAAACATGAAGAGTTAAAAGCCAGAACATTTGTACTAGACAGGCAGTAAATGGCACCTTGCATAACAGGCCTCTAAAGGTCACCATAACTCTGCAAAGGCTAATAGTATTACTAATCTATTGTCATGCAAAAAAGCAGAATATCCCTTATGCTGCTGACCCTACCCATAAATGGCCACACATTCAGAGACAAGTTAGTCTCTAGCTTTGTTAATCTGCTGGAAGTTGTTGCCCTCTTAAAGAGCCCATAAACATGCTTGAGAGAGAACGTTTAAATAGGACAGCCTATACAACAGATTACTCTGCCAATTTCTTGTCGTCAGCACAAACCACTACACTTCTCGGAGACAAGACGTAACCACTGGAGAAAGCATGTGCACTACTTCATGCTTTAAAAATGCTGTATCTGCAACAAGGCAGAAATTCCCACAGGATGACTTTAGTGGACTCCGAGTATTCGAAAAGTCTTATGGAGCAGTGGCAAACCCATAAAGTAGCAATGATTTTTAATCATATCAGATTACACCACCCTTAAGAAAAAGCGGCAGGAGGACATTTCAGAGTGAAACAGTTTTATGTAAAACCTATCACACACGCTCCACAGACATTACATCCTAAAAAACCTGCAGGATACTTAAAGCATGCTGGATTTATTACATAGCACAGGGATCTTCCTCTCTGACTTTCCCCGCACGTGCAGGGATTTATGAGAATACTTGGGATGGGCTTGGCACTCCAACAAGCTGGTACCAGTACAACAGGGACCATCACCATGCACTCCCCTGGGGACACAGAGGATAACCCAGGGCTGCCAGTGAAACACCTCACATTTCTAATCCAGGTCAGCCCTGGGTTTAGGGGATTTGGAGTTTCTAGGAGAAATAACACACTTGCTGACTCAGCACATTCATTCCCCTTCTACTATCAGCTCTGTCCCCCACCTTCAGGGTACTCATAACATCATTTCTGCTCATCTGCGGCTACTCTCAGAACATGACAATTTCTAGCAAGCCTTTGGGGACTTCAAGAAATTGTTGGGGTTTGTTAGCATGCATTTTAAGGGGTCAGGCCATATTGCCTGTAACATAAACTTCACAGGTGGATTGAAATCCAGTGGCCCCTTCTAGACTTAAGCTCAAACCATTTAACACACAAAGGCAAGACCCTTCATTTTTTTCAGAGCCCCATATCCTGTACAAGATACCAACCTGGGAGAGGGAAACGATATACAATTTCCAAACAGTGGCTGGGAAGGTCAGCTGAGGACCAAGCACAGGGAAGTAGGAATTAGCAGTTGGCACGGGGTTAAGTAGGCAT